GTCATATTTTACAACCTTCAATTTTGTCAGTCCTTGACTGAAACTTTATAAAAATACTCATTTTTACTGCTTTTTTGTTTCCTTACTTCATGCTCCCACTTGTGGTCTTTCCTTTCACCCAAAGAGCCCCTTTCAATATTTCTTGCAGGGCTGGTTTATTTGTCATGAACTCCTTTAGTTTTTATTTGTCTGAGAAACTCTTTAGATCTCTTATTATGAATGATAGCATTACTGGATAGAGGATTCTTGGCTGCACATTTTTTTCCCATTCAGCACGGTGAGTATATCATGCCACTCCCTTCTGGCTTGGAAAATTTCTGTTGAAAAATCCCATGGTACCCTTAGCGGGGTTTCCTTTGCATGTAATTGTCTTTCTGCTTGCTTCTTAAAAAAATTATCACTATATTTGCCATTTTAGTTATACCATGTCTTGGTGTGAGAGGCATGGCTTAGTCAGTTAAGTGTCCAACTCTTGATTTTGGGTCAGGTCATGATCTTAGAATCATGAAATTAAGTCCCACATCAGACTCCGCACTGGGCATGGAACCTGCTTAAGATTCTCTGTCTCCCTGTCCCTCTGCTCCTCCCCTACACGCTCCTGCATATTTGCATGCTCTGATAGATAGATAGATAGATAGATAGATAGATAGATAGATAGATAGTGTGCCTTGGTATAGATTTGTTTTTGTTGACTTTGTTAAAGGTTCTCTGTGCCTCATGGATCTAGATATCTGCTTCCTTCCCCAGATTAGGGAAGTTTTCAGCTATTATTTCTTCAAATAAATTATCTGCCTGCTTTTCTCCTTTCTTCTTCTTCTGTGACTTCTATAATACGAATGTTATTATATTTGATGGAGTCACTGATTTCCCTAAGTCTATTCTCATTTTGCATAATCCTCTTTCTCTCTTTGTTCAGCTTGATTACTTTCCATTACTCTGCCTTCTAGGTCATTCATTCATTCCTCTGGTTCTTCCAGCCTACTGTTCATTCCATCAGGTGGGTTTTTCATTTTGTTTATTGACCCCTTTATCCCTGTTATGTTCCTTATCTCTGTTAAGCGTCTCACTGATGGCTTTCGCTCTTTTCTCAAATTTACTGAGTATCTTTATGATCATTACTTTAAATTCTTTATCAGCCAGATTACTTAGATCTGTTTCATTTAGATCTCTGGCCTTGGCCTTGTCCTATTTGGGACAAAGTCCTCTGTCTTCTCATTTTGTGTAAGTCTCCATGCCTATGTTAGGAAAGCCAGGTACATCTCTTATGCTTGAGGGTAATGGCCTTATGAAGAGGTCCTGTAGTGACCTACACTGTAGTGTCCCCTGTCCAGGAGTGTCTCCAATGTATGCTGTATGTGGTCTGCTCTTGTGTCCCTTCATCCCAGTCATCTACAAAGTCTCTCTTTGCCTGCTGTGAGCAGTGTTTGGACCCTGGCCTGAATGTGGCATGTTTTAACTAGGTGTGCTCTGATCTGCTTGTGAAATGAGACACATTGCCACCGCCACTGGAACCTAGGCTACACAAAACTCCTGCATCTGGAGATGCAGTGTTGGCAGGGGTTTGGGCTGGTCTTTTGGGGGTATGGGCCTTCCATTCTGGAACTAAGGTAAACATGACTAGAAAGGGCATGGAGTTGGGAGCGAGGGCAGGACTTGGTTTAAGCAAGGTAAGTAGTAAGTGCCTATGCTGCAGTAGTTCCCACAGGTGGCCTTGTACTTATGCTGAGGGGCAGGGAAGGGAAATAGCACCTGCCGGTTCCTTTGTTCCTAGAAGGGTCTCTCTATGAATGCTACCTCTCTGGGACATGCTCTGGGATAACCAAGTAACCTCACCACTGAGTGCCCCCAAGTGCTCTTCAGATTCCTATTTCCACACTGTACATCCACAGCCTGTTTGTCCTGCCTTCCCTCCCACAGAACTCCAGGATTTAAGTCCCACTGGTTGCCAGAACTCATGAAATTCAGCCCCTCTTGCTTTCCAAGCCAATTGCCAAGGGGATTTGTTTTTCCTGTGCACTCCTCCATAGCATGTTAGTCTGTCTCTCGCCCTTCTCCACAATTATGGCTCCCTCCCCATCACAATGGCCATGATCCATTTCTCTGTCAAACTGTGTCTCTGCACTTCCTACCTTCTTTGATGTGGCTTCTTCTCTATGTTTAGTTGTGAAGTTTGTTCTCCTAGTCTTCAGGTCAATTTCTGGGATATTTAGCATGATTTGATAGTTATCTAATTATATTCATGGGATGAGGAAAGCCTAGGGTCCTTCTACTCCACCACCATCTTCTTCTCCATTCTGTGCTCTTTCAAATGGTTACCTCATATTTTTCCATTGAAGACTTTTTCACAGTGATTTGCAAATGCAACTTATACATAAGAGATGGTAATCCTGTGTCATATGTTGTACAAATTCCCTAAAACTTTTACTTTTCATTTGATTTAATACATTTTGAAATACAGATTATTTTTACACATTCTGGTCTTTCCACATTTCCTTTATGATCTCTTCCTCTTATACACAGAAATAAAGTATCCAGTTACATATCAAATATTACTTCTTTTCATTTACTATAAAGCCTATAATCTTAACAAGTCTTTCTAATTCTGTTTAATCCAATGATCCATCTCATTGATAGCCTTGTAGTTTTATCAACACAAGCTGACCCCTAATTCAGTACTAAAAATGGGCAACCACTTATTTTCCATTAAGAAATCAACAAGAAGTCAAGTGTGCAGGTGAGAAGTCACAGAGTGGTGTTTTTGAAAACAACTTAATAAACTGGGTACTGACAGAAGTACCAGAGTTTCTCTAGAAAGGAACAGAGGTTACAGAATTAAATGCAAGCATGGCAGCTTCTCCCTTCAACAGGTTTGATTCTTGGAAGAGTAGAGGGAAAAAAAGCAATGCATATTTTCCCTTGCCTATTATGTGCTCTGAGCAGCTGCTCTGGCACAATTTGTGCACTGTGTTCTGTTGTAGGTTATGGCTCCTGGAAAAGAAGTATGTGCCTGCATGCACGTGTGTGTGTGTGTGTGCACGTGAGTGTGTGTGTGTGTGTGTGTGTGTGTGTGTGTGTGTAATGGGGCAAGTAGAGAATGCTATTAATCATATTATAGGTTTTCCTAGGCTCCAACTAAATACAGAACCAGAACAGATATTCTTTTCTACCATAGCCTGAGGGATTGAAGGCCACTAACAGGCAAATATTAATACAGAGTTAGGTTGTCAGGGAAAACTGAAGTATACCCTCTAGAGGATTTTAGAATTTGGATAAAGTTAGTACTTGCTTGATGGTTTAGGCAATATCTGAGTCTGAATCTATATCTTAAGAACATATAACCCTTTAGAGATTCTAAAAAGCACCCTTGATTTAGAAGGGGTATATTTTTAAAATGGCACCTGGCCAAAGCCCTTGGCATGACAGATAGTGGTTTACTGGTGACAATAAGGTGAGCCTTCCTTTACATGACTACATTTACACACTCCATTCTTTTCTAGGTTTCTTGCAGTGTAATAATCAAAGAGGTATGTGAGCATTTAAGAAGTTTGGAACATGTAAATATAATATTAAGTTATAACATAGTACTTCATAAGATTAGACATGCCAATGAAAACTAAAAATATGATTTTTCTTAATGACAGATTTTTCTCCATTTCAATTTAGTCAGAAAATCTTTCCCTAGACACATAATTGTATATAAATATATCCTACTTTAATAACAGGTGTTAATAACAACATATTAGTTATAATGAATACATGTGTAAATAACAAAAATTACCAATATTAAAACTTTTTTTAAAAAAACATTTTTTGAATGAGAGATTCAGTTCACTAAATGAGAACATAGGAGAATAGCAAAGAGCAAAAAGAAATAAAAATAACCCTCTCATGCCTTTTGACTCCAGGCATGCCTTTTGACTCCACTGCATCCATACTCCAACTTAACAAGTATGCCTTGTGGGTGAATGTGGAGGTAAGGCAAATAAGGAATAAAGAGAGTGGAGATCCAGGTTTGATAAGCAGTTCAGGAAGGTAGGTGGCTTTGCTATGAAGATTAAGAGGAGGCATTTGAAAAAGGTTCTTGACTGAGATATCTAGAAGTACAAACAGAAGAGAAAGAGGAGACTGGAGGAGACTCAGCACAGTATAAGATTCCCTGCAAAGGTCTGGAGGGCAGTAAGGAACTGCAGGTGAATGAGTTCAACAACTCCCATGGTTCAGTGTCAGCCATGTGTCAAGATTTTATAGTTGCTAAGATATTAGATAATGGCAAGAGGGCCCAGTTTTTGTTTTTAAACGTATCTGATCACTGGAACTGGAACAATATTACGCTTTAGTAAAAGGACTACTCGATTTTATTATACTTAAAAACAACCAATGATAAATATTTCAGAAAAAAAAGGGAAGATACGGACTGCTTCCATGCATAGATGTTAGTAAAATATTTCTGTTGCCTTGTTTTTTAAGAAAATTGATAAAAAAAAAAATAGAGATTTTATAATGTGTAATTGTGGATCTGTTTTCCCCTTAATGCAGAAGCAACACCTTAAAAACAGATATAAAAAAAGCTATTCCATGAATTTGGTAGGTCCTGACATTGAAAAAATGCCCAATAAGAAAAGAAAAAAAGTCTTATTCTATTCCTTCTCATCATTATTAAAGAGTAGCAGATTTGGGGAGTGCCTTGGTGGCTCAGTCAGTTGAGCTTCCCACTCTTGGTTTCGGCTTAGGTCATGACTTCATGATTTCTGAGATCAAGCCCCTTGTTGTGTGTGTGTGGGGGGCACTATCAGCAAGGAGCTTGCTTGAGACTCTCTCTCTCTGCCCCTCTCCCTGCTCATGTGTGGGCACCAGAGCTTCCTCTCTCTCTCTCTCAAAATACATAAATACACACTTTTTAAAAAGAGTAGCATATTTTGAGATACTACCACCTTTGGAAATTTGGACTTCACATGATTTAATGCTAATGTCCTTTTCACATTTCAATTGGAAAAACTTACCTCTTGCAAATGAGATTCCTTTTTCTTTGCAGACAAATTTAAATGTTTCTCAAGAATAGAATAGTACTTTTCACTTTCCTTATCAAACTTCTTCTTTCCATCCTAGGGGATAACAATAACAACAAAATATACTAATTAGAGACTAAAATTTTGATTTTTTTTTTTTTACCATCACCATCAAATGTCCAATACAAGTATTTACTACAGATTTAGTGAGCTCCAAATATGTATAAAACTTGATGGAGTAGGAAGAAGGATGTGAAACAAGTCATTTGACTATGTATTCAAATATGTAATCAAAATTCTCAAAGAAGTTCATGGAACTATAGTATGAAGGGAGCCAGGTTGGCTAGAGTAGAATCCCTCTGAGAACTTTATAATTGATTCTCAACAGGAAATTCTGATCTAGTAAGTGTGAGATAGGACCAAGAGAGAGTGTCTCATTTCGTTTTTTTGGTGATTTCAATGAGTTAACATATAACCAGTTTAGAGAAGTGCTCACATAGACTCTTTCAAGGAATCATTATTTCCCAGCTACAAAAAGATACCTGATATTTCAAACCATTCTTGATGAGGGGAAACAGAGGGAAACAAACTTCTAAAAATTGGTAGCATGAAATAATTAAGTAAGATGGTTCAAAATCAAACCAAAAAGGTTAACAACATCTTTATCATACACTCAACATAACTAATGGCTAACCTTTGCTTATTCTTAAAATTGTATTATCTTATAGGGGAAGCTGCAGGGGAAATCTATACCTCTCAGCTGGTGGTGCATTCTTATAGAAATGCAAATGGAATAAAATCCTAAAGGAGAAAGACATGCCTGGGCATATAATATTCTCCAACTATAAATATGTTATTCACAAGGGAACTTTTTTTCTATTTATGAGTCCCTATGAAATAAATACTAGGTGATCATACTCATAAATTTCATTCACCAAAGAAGTACTCTTCTTTGCTTTTATTTCAGTGTTACTGGAAATGCAATGTCTGGACCACTTTAATGAGAGTCAAGTATTTCTATTCAAAATGCAGATTCCTATTATCCCCATCCAGAGATTCAGGAATTATTATTTTTTAACAAGCTCTCTGATTATTATGCATAATGTTTTCCTTCATTATTTGCTGAAGTATTTCAAAGAGGTTAATAAAAAATAATAATAGATGGGTATATGCTTGTTTCAGTAGCACACATACTAAAATTGGAACAATAGGGGCGCCTGGGTGGCGCAGTCGGTTAAGAGTCCGACTTCAGCCAGGTCACGATCTCGCGGTCCGTGAGTTCGAGCCCCGCGTCGGGCTCTGGGCTGATGGCTCAGAGCCTGGAGCCTGTTTCCGATTCTGTGTCTCCTTCTCTCTCTGCCCCTCCCCCGTTCATGCTCTGTCTCTCTCTGTCCCAAAAATAAATAAACGTTGAAAAAAAAAATTTTTTTAAAAAAAAATAAAAAAAATAAAAAAAATAAAATTGGAACAATACAGAGAAGTGTACAACATAATGTATAGAGTTGTAGAATCACTGTATTGCACACCTGAAAACAATATAACATTGTGTGCCAACTATACATCAATAGAAAAAAAATTCAATACATGGATAGATGTATGGATGGACAGGAGGAGGAGGGGAGGAAAGAAGAAAGGGAAAAGACAGGCAGGTCTCTGGTCTGTCTGTCCCATTATCTGAAGTTGTCAGATTCAGACTGATAGATCCAAGTAATTTTTTTGATTCACTGCCACCTCTGACATTTTTAACTCACCATGATCTAGTTCCAAATATGGAACTTCAGAAAGTTAACGGACAAAATTACACCGAATGGGAAGAGCACTGTAAAAGTTCAAGTCACTTTTGGGCCATTTAAGAAGTACTAATATGTTTGTAAATTAAACTATTAGACTGATAAATGAGAAAAGTCAAAATCTTCAAGGGATTTTTATTACATAAGGAGAAAATGTGGCTGGAGAAACACAATAAAAAAAATAAAGAGTGGTATTCACATCCAAAAAAGCAGGTCTACTGAGAAACTCCTATTACAGAATGTGGAGCAGCAGACCCAGAAGGAAGCAGAGAAGTCCAAGGCTCAGGATGGAACAAGCTTGTCCTCTCTACTGTTGCAACAAGACACCTGGGTGAATATTTCATCCTTTGCTCAATGGAGCTTACTTTTTAATCTAGCATTTCATGCTCACAATTGACCTTCCCAATCAACGTTTTGAAAAGTCTCTCCCACTAGCACCTTTGAGCTCCTTATCTTTTTTCTCTGCAGGTCATTTCTCCTCTGACAAAATGCTCATTTCTTCTAATTTCCACATATTCAAGTTACATCCACTTTAGCACACAACTCAAACAGGCCTCATTCACAAGTCCCTTCCATCAACTCTCCCTCCCTTTTGAAGGCTCACAGAGCTTTACATACAAATTTCTTACAGTCTTTGTGTTTGACACTGTAGGAGAGAAATTTAGGTATGTACCCTATCCTCTTTTTAAAACTGAATATTTGAGAAAGTGCTCGATAAATATTTAATGAACAAGGGAACTTCTTCCTCTTGTAACACTGGGCACCACAATCCCTCACAGATAGTCCATTTGTTTAAAACAGAACAAAACAAAATCCATAATACCAGGGACAATTCTACACAAATAGCTTAACAGCTTAACTCAATCCCAATGTGCACAAACACTGGGGGGCAACCAGTCACATTACAGTTACACATTACACATTACACAATGCTGACTCACTTTCATTTTAGGGGACTTAAAATTTCTTACTGTGCATAGAAGAAACTGGGTAAAGGCAAAGAGAACACAGCTGTGGTGACAACACTAGTATCTTTGTTTTCAGTCAGTGTTTGATGGCATTTTTGGAAACAATTCAGTGCCAACATGTCAGCATTCCTGGCAATATAAAACTCATTCCCAGAGCACTTTCTGGACTCTTATTCAAATCCTAGTACTTCACCAGGACAGCAACAGATCTACTCAAAGGTTCCAATGATGTACAACAAAAACACACTCAGATCTAGCCTAAAATTAAAGAACTGAGTAGGCCACATGAAGGACAACTATAATGTAGGGAAGCACTTTCTTGAAAACAAAGAGCATTTCTCCTTGAAATTCACATCTGTCCCCAAAGCCATGATGTACTCCTCATATAAGCCACGTCTCATTTGGATTTAATAACTTAACACCACACAGCTATCTCTTATCTTTTGGTTACATGTTATGGATATCAGGCTAAGAATCTGCTCTGAAACAAATGCTGCAGAGGGAAGGGAAAAATAACCCATGAATCTTTACTAAATTCTGCACAGGATTCCTGTCTTCTTATTGTCAGAGCATGATTTGAAAAAAAGAGACTACATTATACTGTCACATTTCCTGTAAATACAGTTAAGTGCATTTGAACTAGGTAATCACTTAAAATGAAGTCTAATAACAAAATAATAACATTTTTAAATAAAATAAAATTAAGTCACATATATATGTATATATGTGTGATGTGTTTGTATATGTGTGTATGTATATGTATTATAAAATTTAAAATAGATCATCAAAAATGGCAAATTAGTCCCCAAACCCAATATTAGCTGACAAAAGTATAAGGTAAGTTCTGGGTCTGCAATCAATCTGCTTTCCAGATGATACCACATTTACTCTAAGCACAGTGATCATATTATATCTCAGCTTTTAAGATTAGTAAGTGTGGTTGTGCCACACCTTCACTTTACACAGCAAAGTAAGGAATGGGAAGAAAACTCCAACTGTCAATTTTACTCCAAATTTGTATATAGCCAAAACAAAAGTCAATATTCATAAAAATGATAGGTCTATCATGCAGATAAAAAACATGAAACTATACATAATTGTTAAAAGAAGTCCAAACCAATCCCTTCCACTGACCACAAGAGGGTACCAAAGATGAAGAAGAGACTCTACAACTTGTGATTTAGAAAATCACAACTAGAAATTCTCAAAATGTTATCTAACTGTATTTTTTTCTATAGAAAACCACTGTAAAGTTTTGTTTAGACAATTGTCATGAACCTTTATTTTAATTTGTCATAATATAAATTATTAAAAATAAAGTAAAAACTTATTTTCTATATATCTTTTATAAAAATGGAGTGCATATTTAAGATTTCTACATCAGACTTTAAGACAATTTCAATGTTATAATTATCATCTGAGATACTGTGAAATTTTCCATACAACTATTTATGTCATTATGTTAGTATAGCCATTAGCTAATGAGCAGTTTGTGCATATTTGAAAAAAAATCCTTCAAGTGAATCTATAGCAGTAGAAAAAGTAATATGAAGAATAATAAATACCAATAGCTGAATTTCTATTTCAAACATATGTGGAATTCTTATAAACTGATACTGTGCTAAGCACTGAGAGGATAAGTTATAGCCCTGACTACCAATCCTGGCTAGACTTCTTCCTCTGATGATGGCATCTACTCACTGATTAGAATGGCAGCTCAGGGTGACATCACCATCTTTAAGTCCTAGAAGTGTCAGATGCTAAACTATTCCAACCACATGTTGCGTAGGAGTTTCCTAAGGCCCAAGAGATTCCTGGTATCCAGAAACTCAGATTGTTGAGGATATCAGTATAGCTTACACAGCAATGTCCCTCCTGTGATGACTGCACCCAACCATTCCCAGGCTCCTCAACCACTGCCCACCAAGTCCCTCCTCCTCAATCTCCTGAGATATAGACACTCCGAAAGGTCTTCTTTTGGGTAGCTCTACCACTATAATTCACCACATCTCCATCATTCTCAATTACCTCGCCACTACCACCACCAGGTGATCAGACTCATAAGGACCAAGCCCTTTATGAAGAACTACAAACTGGAATGATAAAAAAAACAAAAAACAAACAAACAAAAAAAAAAAAAACAGAAATAGATATGAAAGATATAAAGGTATAAGAAACAGAAGAGGAAAGTCCAAAGGGTAACGAGCATTAAAAGAGTTGTTAAAACTCATTAGTAATTAAGAAAAAAAGCAAATTAAAATATTGGGATATCACATTATATCAGATTTGGCAAGAGTTACAAAGTTGAATAATGCTACATATTGAGTGCATGTGGAGA